TTTCAAGATCTTTTAGATCTTTCAGAAGGGGACTCAAAGATCTTGTCCAAAGTACTTAAAAAAATCTTGTTCTCTACAAAGTAGCACAAGTTGCAAATGGATGTCTCACAGTCTGATTACCCAGCTGGGTGTCGAGTGGCTTCGTCACTGGCAGAATCTGTTTCCCCAGAGAAACCTTCACTGTCATGAACTGTGGTTGAGATGCAGTGAGAGAAGACGCCGTAGACCCAGGTTGAGAGATGAAAAAATTGATTTTAATGAAAATAATCCACAATAGTTCCAAACACCGGCAGCACAGATGAGCGGAAGATAAAACCTCACACACTGGTAGCACTGGCAAACGAAGGAACATAAAGAAACACGGACGGACTGGACTAGTAGCAACGTCAGAGGAGGAACGTGAGACAGATTAGACAAGGACCCGATGACGACCAAAGAACACAGGTGGGTTTAAATACACAGGGAGTAATCAGGAATCTAGACACAGCTGGAATCAATCAAGGGGTAGACAGGATAACAGAAAACTAAAGAAACACACACAAAAACCTCAATCCTAACACCCACTACTGTTGTAGCGTGGTCTGATCAGGCTCCTCGTGGAGGCGTCATGTTGACAGTAGAAAATGTGACTTCAGTGTCAACAAGAAAAAAACAGTTAAAAGTTACTGACCTTCACCGACAACATGGGTCCCCCAATTACATGTTATCCTGATTTCTCTGGATAATGGTAATGTAAATACAATAAACTTAAAAAAATTTCAAAGGCTCAAGTGATAATTACTTATTTTAAGGCAGAAATGAGTAAAGCTAAATAAGAATGAGTCAATGGTTTTAATCCTCAGGAGTCAATGCGACCTCGCCAGATTGTGCTCAGTTCAAAAAGCTTGTGGGATCCGATGAACCCCCCTCTCTTAAGAGCGCGGCAGGGTTGAAAAGTGGTCCATTATTTCAGCCTGACTTTCATGTTAAAATTAATGACGAATTCTCATGTTCGTTGTAAATTCTTTTCTGTGCTGTTCTGTGGTCTTGCTGACTGACGTGTTCAAATATTTCTAGTGAAAACATGAGGATGAGTTCTGTCGATATCAGTATCACTGAATCTTGACCATTATGAAGAACTTGTGATGTTGCAGCGATAAAATTTTTTTTTTTGGTATTTTCCAAACACATGCAGGGGTTCAGGAAAGTCAAGCCTGACAGGGAACTCTGTGTTGGTGTTTCCATGGTACCGCTAGGTTTGAGAAGGAGTTGAAAACACGTAGAGATCTTTTAAAGGGATGCAAGTTTTCATCCACACCTCAGAGCAACGTCAGTGCTCTCAGTAGAGAAGAGGCTGACTCTCTCCAACACACAGAGTAGTAATTATTTAGTGTTATACAATCTCAGCTTCTGATGCTGTTGATTGCACATTTTATTCTTTGATGCTGTCTCCAATTAAGTGTCATTTGCATGATTTGGAGGTAATATGCTATCATTAGTTTTATGTGAAATGTAGCTACACATTTGTGTTTTCATCTGTTACAGTATGTCACTCTCACAGTATAAATCTACCAACATTTGTATCATCTGAGGTTTAATCTGCTCTGCTTCTTTAGAGCTGTACTGCTTTGGATGGAGAACCAAACCTCGGTGATTCCTCTCAAACAGCCGATTGTTTTTGAACTGCAGGGCTTTGATGTTCAACCAGGCAACGGACCGTTCTTGTTTCTGTTGGCTTTGCTCGCCTACATAGCGGTGTTACTGGGGAACGGTGTGGTGATCTGTGTTATTATGACAGACAAGAACCTGCACAGACCCATGTTTGTTATGATCTGTCACCTCATGGTCTGTGACCTGCTGGGGGCCACAATGTTGCTTCCTCGCCTCATGATGGATCTGTTGATGGGGCTGAAGAAGATCGCCTACATCCCAGCCATCGTCCAGGCATTCTGCGCTCACACATATGGTGCAGCAATGTCGACTGTTTTAAGTGCGATGGCCTATGACAGGTAAGTAGTAGAAAAGTTTATAAAACTATTCCCTTATTTTTTTTTCAGGAAGTTTTCTCTTTTGGTTTTGAGTATGAACTATATTCTATGATATGTATGAAAATGAATCCAAACTTTTAAAGTGGTCATATAAATCTATGCAGCGCATTTAATACCAGTTTTTAGGTTGTAGGAAGGTTTAAAGATAATTCTGTTTAATTCAGTCCATTCAGCTTATTCATACAGCAACAACAAATACAATGACAGACTGCAAAAAGAAAACTTTAAATATTTTCCTAATTATCAAACAGATGCTTAATTGTATTAGTGTTATTATGTCTAAGAGGACTTTGAACATATATCTGAATTTTTTCTTGCATCTTAACACATGTAACTGTTGGTCAATTCAGTCATAAAACAGCTGCCATGAGGAAATTTTAGACACTAAGTCATGTTTAACTTTAAAGAACTGCCTGTGAAAATGCAGTTTAAAGTTTTAAAGACCTTATGTTTTTCAGCTTTAGGGATTTTGTTCCCTGACAGCTCTGTCTCTCTGCAGGTACGTCGCAGTGTGTGAACCTCTCAGGTATCACTCCATCATGACTTCGGCTCGGCTGCACAGCTGCTGCGCTGTGGCCTGGATCGTTGCTCTGCTGCTCATCGCTGTGCTCTTCTCCTTCCACATGAACGTCCCGCTGTGCGGCCATCTAGTCCAGCATGTCTACTGCAGCAACCGGGGCATCCTGAACCTGGCCTGCATTCCCACGCCTGCCAGCAACATCTACGGTCGGTGCTTCACTTTTAAGGTTTAATGTATTTCGCTTACAGGTGAAATATAAACTTTATAAGTGCAAAGCAGAGGCGTGCTGTTGGCGCAGGGGAAAAGAGCGCCCCCTGTGTGGAGGCCTTACTCCTCAACGTGACCTTCATGTCTTCAACTCTCACAACTAACTTTCCTGTCTGACATCTGTCAAATAAATTTCACGTGAGCCAACAAAACCTTTACAATAAAAGTTTAATGCAAAGCAGTACCAATGGTTTGGTGAACACTTCCATCTGTTTTAAAAACTATGCTTGTGCCTAACAGGAGAACTTACATTAACTTTGTTTATTTTTATAGTTTCGAATACAATTGTATTTACAATTCAATCAAGATAATAATTGTTATAATTTATCTTAAGAAGCAGTCTGCCTATTTTCACTTATTTACCTCTTTACATGAATAAACATAATTTGTGTTCGAACACACAAGCTGGTCACATGTGATGCTCCAGAAAATGTGAATGGTTTTAATAGTCAGTTTGTATAACCACTTTTTAAATTTCTTCTCAGGTCTAGCGATGACCTGGACTTTAAGCACAGGAACCTTCTTCATCATCGCCTATTCCTACATCAGAATCCTGAGTGTTTCCTTTAAACAAGGCAGAACAAACAGCAGCATCCGCAGCAAGGCGTTTCAGACCTGCGCTCCACACATTGTTGTTTATGTTCTCTATCAGACCTCTTCACTGGTTGTGATTTTAATTCAGAGATTCCCCTCTCTTTCCCCAAACATAAAAAAGTTATTCAGTGTTCTTGTCTTTATCATTCCCCCAATCATTAACCCCATCATCTATGGACTGGTCAGTAAAGACCTGAGGGTCAGTTTTATCAAACGTTTCTCAACCAGAGTAAGAAACAAAACTTAGCACTAACACTGTAGCTGCTGTTCTTAGATTATCTAACTCTTCTGGTGGAACTTATGCTTCTTATAGATGCTGTAAAAAGTTTATATAATTCATGTTCTAAGAGGTCGCACATCATTTGGCATCCGTGACTGATAGATGTGTGTATGCATGTTTGTATTTAACCAGGAAAAATAACTTAACTGAGGTTAAAACCATCTTTTCCAAGAGTGACTGGGGCAAGACAGCAGCAGAAAACAGCAAATCCAAAATACAAGACCAAATATACACAACCAAGAGACAGCGTTTCACTAAACAAAGGTTTAGTACCAGTAGACGAGTGATCTGATGCTTCTGCCCTTTATAATGGATTGAATTGCCCCAAAGTAATAAGAGGTGATAACTTTACATCCTTCAGTTTAATATTCCAGGTGGCAGAAAATGTGAAAGCCTTTTTACCCAGCAGGACACATAAAGCCATCAACTATCCATGTACAAAGAACACAACAAAATGCCATGTGTTTAAACCTCATTGAAATAATAAAGCACATTTTATTTAACTTTCCACGTCTGTTTATTGCAAGTTAAAGGAAAACAGAACAGAGTCTCTTCTTTGCTGGTTTATCCAAACATTCAGAAGTGGAATTGTTTGGTCACACAGTCGTCGATTTGTTGATTGATTCATTTATTGATTTTGGGGAGAGACATTAGCTTAGCATCTGTATTCTTCCAGATCACTGAGAGAACATTGATAGAAAGCAGAAAAAACTAAATGCAGCAGTCTAAAGTCAAACCTCAAGTTGATCAATTATCCAGCAGAAAGTCACTAAAATTGTCTGTTAAATATAAGATGATTATCAGCTTCTGCTTCATGACTTCATCACTGAAATTATTATCGATGTTATGTTTGGCTTTGCATAAAGCCGTGTCTCTAACAGAAACATTGTTGGATGACAATAATGAATCACCAGTACTGACTGCGGCAGCACCTCCTAATTACACTTTTTTAAGTAAGAATGGAAAATATAAAAGAGAGGCAGGGGTTGATGCAATTTTTTATGCTTCACTAACTGTGAAAAGGTTTTTCTGGGAAAATTTGATTCTTGAATATTTGGGAATTGAGATAAAAGGCTATAAGCTCCGACACTACCTCTGTACAAAACCCCAAAATATGTGGGCATGCTTTTATTGAGTTTAATGAGATTTTATCTGTTATATTCATTGATTATGGCTGCTTAATAATTGTAGGAGGTTTCAGTATCCTCCTTGCCAGAGGGACAAAGGACTGTGTGATACTCGACAACTTTGGTTTGATTCAACATGCCAAACCTTAAAGTCTTGACTCTATAAAGAGTTCCCAAACATGAGAGTGAAGCGCAACCCAGATGTTCCCAAAGAGAAGACAACATCAAGCATGTTCTGCAGGGCTGGATTATTTGGTGTTTCTGTTGGGAGACATCTGTGTGTCACTCCATGTGACACACTCTCGCGATTCGCATGGAGAAAAGCTTCGTAATGCCGGATCGTAAGTCTTTGCTGACCAGTCCGTAGATGATGGGGTTGAGAGCTGGCGGAACTATGATGAAGAGGATGCTAAAGAACTTCCTGATGTTCTGAGTGACAGAGGGAAACCTGAGACTGACAATGATGATAACTGAGGCTATCTGATAGAGCACATACACAACGAGATGAGGCACACACGTCTGCAGGGCCTTCTTATGGACCCTGGTGTCGGTTCTCCGCTGTTTAAAGGAGGCACTAAGGATTCTGATGTAGGAAAAAGCAATGATGACAAACACCCCGGTGCTCACAGACCAGGTCATGGCCAGACCTGAAAAACACAGACAAGACAACTCAAATCATTTTCACAGTTTCTGACCAAACACGGAGCTTCCCTCGTAGTAAATGTCCAGACCGTAGATGTTGCTGGCAGGCGTGGGAATGCAGGCCAGGTTCAGGATGCCCCGGTTGCTGCAGTAGACATGCTGGACTAGATGGCCGCACAGCGGGACGTTCATGTGGAAGGAGAAGAGCACAGCGATGAGCAGCAGAGCAACGATCCAGGCCACAGCGCAGCAGCTGTGCAGCCGAGCCGAAGTCATGATGGAGTGATACCTGAGAGGTTCACACACTGCCACATACCTGCAGAGAGACAGAGCTGTCAGGGAACCGGTTTTTAACTAAATGGTTATTTAAGCTGGTTTCTCAGGGATCATGTTAAGATGTTATTTGTATTTGACATTTATCTGTTCTGAATTTATTTCTGTTAAAATAAACATTAAATGAAAGGGAACTTCCTCTTTGAGGTGAAAGATAATTTATGACCCAACTATTTCATTATTAAGAACATTTATCGAAGTTTAATGTAAATTAATGAATCCACCAAATGCTCCTATACTGCACATTTTGAACATTAAAATCTACAAACTCTTGCATCCCTGCAGTCCATAATGTTCTCACACCTGACACATTTTTTCACCTGTCAATAGCCATCACCCCCAGAATGGTCTGCACCGCTACGCCGTATGTGTGAACACAGAAACCCTGAGCAATAGCTGGGAGGTAGCTGATCTTCTTCTGCCCCATCAAGAAGTGCATCATGAGGCTGGGAAGCACCGCCGTGGCGCCCAGCAGGTCGCAGACCACCAGATGGCAGATCATCACAAACATGGGTCTGTGCAGGCTGCGGTCCGTCATGATGACACAGATCACCACACCGTTCCCCAGCAGCACCACCATGTAGACGAACAGGGCCAAGAAGAACAAGAGAGGACCTTGTCCTGGTGGAACGTCGAAGCCCTCCAGTTCAAACACAATCGGCTGCCTGAGAGGAGTCAATGTTAGGTTCTCCATCCAAAGCTGGACAGCTCTGTGAAACACAAGCAGTGTGATAGATTTACCAACAAACATGTCATATTGATGCTCAGTACAAGCTATAAAACGTAAAAGATACAGCTCTTTATTTTACAGATTGCAAACCAAAAGGTCATAAAATGAAATGCAATGAATTAGTATAAATCAGTGATCACCTCAACAGCTGAGAACTAAAGTTTCAGTCTACGATGAAGGAGGGCCCTCCTCTCCTCTCATTGTGTTGGTGCTGTTCTCATTTTTGAGCAAACTGGCTTGTCCGTTAAATAAAGTCACTGCGTATATGATTCATTACCACTGTCAACTAAACCATGGAAACGGATTCCCCGCCTCCCATGACGTACTGAGATCTGTGTATCTGGCAGTGGAGGAGAAAGTACTCAAAAAATGTACTTAAGTAAAAGTACAAATACACAGACAAAAATGTACTCAAGTAAAAGAAAAACTACCACATTAACATTTGTACTTAAGTAAAAGTAAAAAAGTATCTGATTATCACAAATAAAGTTATCAACTATCAATAATACATCAGGTCTCTTTCTGCACATGAGAAAGAGACCTGATGTACGATAAAATGCTTTTTCTATATTTTTTTCTGACCAGAGTCGTATTTATCTTTATGTTCATGGCTGATCTCTTTAGGTCAGTCTTTAATTTGTTTAATTTTGGCCGTGGATAAGGCCCTGTATTATTGGGACAATGGGTGGATAATTGAATAGAAGCTGTAGAGAACCAAGTTAAATTACCTCTCTGTTTCCCTGGACCATGGGTTGTCAGTGTTGGGTGAAAATGATGTGTAAATTTGAACTTTGCCCTCTAAAAAATTAATAATATTAAAGTGTATCGTTATTGGCTGTCAGGCGGGGAGAGGTGGTGCTATGGGAAACCAGTAGATATGAAATGATTTAAATGGGAAACCTCCTGAGCGACACTGATGCTCTGGCAAGATCAGACGTGGACATCCTTTCTTCATTGTTTAACATCACCTTTTGTTGTTTTCTGTTTATGTATTTCATGAAGATTTTAGCATCTCTAAGATTTTCCATTAAGTGGTGTTTAATTTTCAGGTATTATTTTACAATCTGTACCAAGGAGAACTGTAACTTATTTACTTATGCTCTGCAAAGATGAAATTGCTCTGTCTTTTCATAGCAGTTTTATGTCTAATATGCAGGAGGGTTTAATCTGCTTGTGTTTCACAGAGCTGTCCAGCTTTGGATGGAGAACCTAACATTGACTCCTCTCAGGCAGCCGATTGTGTTTGAACTGGAGGGCTTTGATGTTTCACCAGGACAAGGTCCTCTCTTGTTCTTCTTGGCCCTGTTCGTCTACATGGTGGTGCTGCTGGGGAACGGTGTGGTGATCTGTGTCATCATGACGGACCGCAGCCTGCACAGACCCATGTTTGTGATGATCTGCCACCTGGTGGTCTGCGACCTGCTGGGCGCCACGGCGGTGCTTCCCAGCCTCATGATGCACTTCTTGATGGGGCAGAAGAAGATCAGCTACCTCCCAGCTATTGCTCAGGGTTTCTGTATTCACACTTATGGAGTTGCGATGCACACTATCCTGGGAGTGATGGCTATTGACAGGTGATAAATCATAAATTTGCTGCTGGTATCTATGTTTGTATTACATTTTTCTATGTGCTAACATATTGACATTTTCTTCTATTGTCCAAACTATTATTCTACAGTAATATGCATCGTACAGATACAAGTGTGGTTTTTTGCTGTCTGTCTGCAGGTATGTGGCAGTGTGTGAACCTCTCAGGTATCACTCCATCATGACTTCGGCTCGGCTGCACAGCTGCTGCGCTGTGGCCTGGATCGTTGCTCTGCTGCTCATCGCTGTGCTCTTCTCCTTCCACGTAAATCTCTCTTACTGCAGTCGAATCATTCAGCACGTCTACTGCAGCAATAAGTCCATAATGAATCTGGCCTGTGCTCCCCCCCTTATCAGCAACATCTACGGTCAGTGCAAATGAACAACTAAAAATAGACAACCATCAGAGTGAAACAGAGACAACAAAAAGCTCATTTTACTGAAACAGTTACCACTGCTGATCGTTGACTGTGCATGAATGTGACTGGTTCTGTAATTCTCTATGTTTTGTAGGTTTATTCATCACCTGGTTTGTGAGTACAGGGATGTTCGTTGTCATCGCTTATTCCTACATCAGGATCCTGAGAGCTGCTTTTCAGCAGGGCAGGAGCAGCAGCAGCATCCGGACCAAGGCCTTCCAGACATGTGCATCACACCTTGTTGTGTATGTCTTCTATGAATTAACCACAATGATTATAGTCGTTATCTACAGATTTCCATCCGTATCCCAAAACGTTAGTAAGTTTCTTGGCATCCTGTCCATCACCTTCTCTCCGGCCATCAACCCCATCATCTATGGGCTGGTCAGTAAGGACCTGCGCTCCAGCATCATCAAGCGTTTTTCTACCAGAACTGTTCACAAGAACTGACTTATTTTGTCATGTTGTTATATTTATAACATGTTGAAGTAACAGTAGCTAGTAATAATGCAATGTTGTACAAGCAGGTCTGTTTTGGATCTGCAGAAAGTGAAAACCAAGCTGTAATGAGCTGCTGTCCACATAGTTTTAGAGGCAGAATATCTACATGAAAGACAAAATAAATTATCTGTGACTGGTTTCATGTACAGCAGGACCTTCCCCAGTATCCCATGCACTTCAGATAGTAGTATAAAGTGAGACATGAAAGTAAAACACTTTTATTGACTGTCTTGAGGTGAGCAGAATGAGATTCATTACATGTAAAAATAAAGTTATAAATACCAATCCAGAGTCAGGGTCATAGAATCAATGGATCCCAGTCCTCAATGGGTTCCTTACTTCAAGTGTGAGAAACTAATGTAAACATTTTGAAATAAAGAAATTCTATTAAATTTATGGACTGTCCTCACTTTTATGAAAGTATCAGATATTTTATATCACAGTTTTTCTCTGTTCTTTGAAGTTTCAGTATGAGCAAAGTCCAGCAGTTTAATCTCCGGGTTATTATTTAAAGACTGTTTTGAAACATTTTTAACAGATGTCTTGGTTGGACAATGGTGATGAAAAGTGGAATCTAGAAACCTGTATTAATTACATTGTTGATTTTTTTGTAAACATGGAGATCTTAAACAAGTTTGCAAAAACAACATGGAAAAAATAAAACATTTAATCATTTTACAGCCACTTTGAGTTGCTGATGCTACCTTTGCTTTGAAGGAAGACCACGGTGTAAACCTGACGCTGAAACCACATATTCACTGATGTTTTAAAAATGGACATTTTATTGCAATCTGAAGATACTAGAGTCATTCTAAACAATGACTCTGTTGTCACAGGTTTCATGTTCAAAGCTGTGATACCCTTCACTCACTTAGCCTGCATGAAACCTTGTGTTATATAACAACTTGCTTTACCAACAAAGGAACCTTCTCTGAGAGGAAAGTGTTCACAGTTCATCTATGAAAATAAAATAAATTCTGCACCACTTATTCAGTGTACTGTCTTAACAGGAAACCTTTTTTACCTGGCAAGGTTGTTAAATGATGGTTTTTACTAGAATTTATGTGGTTGTCCAGATTATATAAGATTTCAGCAACAGTTCAAGACGCTTTACGTTATAAAAGTACAACACCATCAATTAACAAGAAACGATGTTCAGCGGTTCTGGAGAAGGACTGTTGGTTCTGGTTGTGGAATACTGGAGCAGCTCTACACCCTCGGGTCCCTGTAGGACCGGTACCAGAGCTTGGTACGGCAGTAAGTCGGGCTCGTTTCCTGTGAGAGTTGGACTTTGTCACTGATTCTGTTCATTACTTTCATGGACAGAATTTCCAGATCAGCCAAGGTGTGGAGGAGATCTGCTTTGGTGGCCTTAGGATCCCGTCTCTACTTTGGTCTTTGATGTGGTCCTTTTGGCTTCATCAGGTTGTGATCTACAGCTTTCATTGGAGCGGTTCGCAGCTGAGTTTGAAGCGGTCGGGTTGAGGATCAGTGCCTCCAAACTCGAGGCCATGACCTTGAGTTGGACTTGAGCTGCTCTGTCATGGTGAAGAGAGAGCTGAGCCAAAAGGAGAAACTCTCAATTTACCGGTCAATCTACATTCCTACACTCATCTACGGTCATGAGCTTTGGGTCATGACCAAAAGAACGAGGTCATGGATACAAACGGCTGAAATGAGTTTTCTCTGCAGGGTGTCTGGTCTCTCTCCCTTAGAGAGAGAAGCTCAGTCATCCAGAAGGGGCTCAGAGTAGAGCCACTGCTCCTTCACACTGAGAGGAGCCAGATGAGGCTATGAATCCCTCCTAGAGAATGCTTTGGGGTGCCCTAGAATGAGTTAGTTAAGCTTTCTGTGGAAAAAGAGAGAAAGAAGAATTCACATTTCAATGACCCAGAGCATGCCAGACAATCTCAGCCTGCAGGTAAAGTTGCAGAGGCCACTGTGCAAAACTGGCTCCAGTAGTGGCTGAAACTCCCATGAAAAGTACATTCCTTTATGCATTGTCTTACTTCAAACAAACTATGTCCACAGCTGTAACTCATTTAAGGTAGAGAACAGACTGAAGAAATAAAGCCACAAAAGGCCATGGAAAATGGTCTTTATCAAGTCCAAAGTGCTTCACACTACTTTCAGACATGCACTCTCTGAAGGTGCCGCCTGTTGGGCCCTCTGAACACCAACACATGAGGTGGACGAAGTGTCTCGCCCAAGGACACATCAGCAGAGGTGGACGAAGCTGATTACAGGACAAACTCCAACCACAAACCTAAAAACTGTTAAACAGACCGATCATATCAATCAGTTGACTGGATTAAAGTGGAGCCACCACTGGATGAGTAAATAAAAATATGTCAAGTGAATTTAAAATGAAGGTTTGAATGAATTAAAACCAATGATTTTAGCAAAAGATGTAAATTCAAGTCATGGTCAGAACGGTTCATAAATTGGAACATTGTCAGTTATTGTGTAATCATGAAGTTTACTGTTGGTGCCTGACTCCGTGATGCAGGTTCAGGCTGCAGGTAGGGAGAGGCTGCCGTGTTTCCATGGTGCAACTGACAGGAGGAGACATTAAAAAGCGAAATCATTAGATGGACAACACACTCCTCAATAACCAGAGCTCTGCCAACCAGCAGGAGACTCTCTGATGTTACCTTTGGCTTTCTGTTGATGGGCTTCACTGGATATTAAAGGTTGTTGGTTTTGTTGATGTTTAATCAGCTTCTTATGAAATTAGCAGTCTAGTCACTTGTATATATCTTTATATTCTTTTAGTTTATTGCAGGCTGTTTTGTTATAACTTTAAAATTGTTGTTTTCTTTGATGCTGCAGGAATAACCTGATCCAGAGGCTGTCAGCTTTCTGATTTTTGACAGGCTCGTACTCGTTTGGATGGAGAACCTAACATTGACTCCTCTCAGGCAGCCGATTGTGTTTGAACTGGAGGGCTTCGACGTTCCACCAGGACAAGGTCCTCTCTTGTTCTTCTTGGCCCTGTTCGTCTACATGGTGGTGCTGCTGGGGAACGGTGTGGTGATCTGTGTCATCATGACGGACCGCAGCCTGCACAGACCCATGTTTGTGATGATCTGCCACCTGGTGGTCTGCGACCTGCTGGGCGCCACGGCGGTGCTTCCCAGCCTCATGATGCACTTCTTGATGGGGCAGAAGAAGATCAGCTACCTCCCAGCTATTGCTCAGGGTTTCTGTGTTCACACATACGGTGCTGCTATACAGACCATTCTGGCAGTGATGGCCTATGACAGGTGATGGGGTGAACCAGTTCATATCTTACTGTTTAAGTTGTTCCTTCAGTCTTTTGTAATTTATCATGTATTTATTGCTAACTCCTGAACATTTCACTGCTCCGTCATTCATCGTGCTCTTCCTGTTTTCCTTCTGAGAGAGAAAATTCCTTTCTTTACAGGAACATTCAGGTATCTGCATGGTTTACCAAAGGGGTAACCAGGGCAACAGTCTTGGTCTGAAGGATGTAGCTGCTCCAAAATGACTGATTTCTGTGTTCAATTCAAGGGTGAAAATGTAAATATAATTACATTTTCAAAGTAATTATGTTACTTTGAAAATGTAAAAAATGTGTTTTTTACCTTTTCAAAGTAATATAATTAACATTATAATATAACTATTTGGTTTCTAAATTCATTGATAGTTGGTCTGCATATCCCACAGGTTAAACTATATCCCTTATATTTCCCCTGGTCCTTTAGAAAAAAATTGTGTGTGAGGGTTGTTCCCTTACAGCTCTGTCTCTCTGCAGGTATGTGGCAGTGTGTGAACCTCTCAGGTATCACTCCATCATGACTTCGGCTCGGCTGCACAGCTGCTGCGCTGTGGCCTGGATCGTTGCTCTGCTGCTCATCGCTGTGCTCTTCTCCTTCCACATGAACGTCCCGCTGTGCGGCAGCTTCCTTCAACACGTCTACTGTAGCAACCGGATCATAATGAATCTGGCCTGCACACCCACTCCCATGAGTGACATCTACGGTCAGTGTAAATAAACTACTAATTGATGAAACACAAACTTCAGTTCTGGAAAGCATCAAGAGTTAACACCACTTCATAAAGCAGAATAGTCTCTGCTCTGTCACTAACATTTATTTACCGTCTAATTCTTGGCCCCTCTGTGTCTCATAGGTTTATGCATGACCTGGTCACTTAGTACAGGGATGTTCATCATCATCGCTTTTTCCTACATCAGGATCCTGGCAGCTGTTTTGAAGCACGGCAGGACCGACAGCAGCATCCGCACCAAGGCCTTCCAGACATGTGCATCACACCTTGTGGTTTATGTGCTGTATGAAATAGCTACACTGATTATAGTCATTAGCTACAGATTTCCTTCCATCACTAAAAACATCACAAAGTTTCTTAGCATCCTGTTCATCATCGTCCCTCCAGCCATCAACCCCATCATCTATGGGCTGGTCAGTAAGGACCTGTGCTCCAGCATCATCAAGCGTTTTTCTACCAGAACCGTTCACAAGAACAGACTCTCTGTCTTACAGTGAATGTTTATCTCAATAGCACTATTTATGAATAAATATGACCAGTAGCTCACAATAATGTAATGCTGTAAAAGTGAGTGTTTTTTTTTATTTATCATCAATAAAATCAGGGAATCTTCAAAGATGCTAAGATTTTTTTTGCTTCCATTTGTTATTTGAACCAGTTTGTTAAAAAGGGCAAAATGTTAGAATAAATTGGAAATACAATATCTCACAGTGACATTAATAATTCTTATTTCACCCCTATAATGAATCACATTAGTGCTTCCTTCATGGCGTTTTATAGGCAGTAAAATATCAGTCTAATATTCTGCATATTAAGGGGAGATGTGAGCAGATCTTCCCAATTTGAGGAGTAGAATAAATTCATCAATTCATCGAAGGAGAAAAGAAGAGCTGAATTTGAAAATCCTATGAACAAAACAAGTTAATGCAGGATGCAGCCAAATGCACCAAATTCACAGATATTTTCCATAGTGGAGGGGTCAAAGGTCAGTGACGGTCAGGATCAAGCAGAGGGACTCCAGCAGGTTTTCAAGCGCTGCCTACATGACTCCATCATCCCATTGCAGATGTGTGTTTGTGTTTCTGAACGTGATCAGGGCCCAGGAAGTTACACCAAACATCCATAAATAATTATTGTGCTTGATGAATTAAAATCAATCCAGATTGGCTGACCAGAAAAAGGCACATCTATTTATTGAATCTGTTTCCAAAGTGAAAAAAATAATAATATCTGAATATACAAACTCTTCTGGTATTTTTTTCTTTTTTCTTTTTTTCCAGCTCAAGGAAAACACAAATAAAGTCAATAAATCAGTTCCTACGTTAAGTACTTTCCTTAAGTTGATTTTTATATTGTTTTCTTCTAACACTATGAATTCTTTTAGAAACTTTACTAAAAAATATTATTGTTGCTGTTAAGTAGCTGACAAGAACCATGTCAGCTGTGGTCATGGAGTTGTAAAGAGGGAGATGATCGTCGGAGAAGGAAGAAGAGAAGAAGAAGGTGAGTGGGGAAGGAACCACCAAAAAAGTGACGATTGCAGCGTTGGCATTATGTGTTTCCCGAGTATCATATTAACCTCTGATAGAGTTTATAAATTTTAACTCCAATATTTATGTTTATTTCACTAAAGGTCACCTAAAAGTCAAAGGTGTGAGATAAACAGACCCGTTTAAAAACATGACGGTTAATGTTGCCTCACTTATAGAGAAGTAAAGCTTGAAAGATGAGACAATAAAATCCATGCTGATATAAATAACACAGTGCTGCCTGAAGTCACAAAGGTTTTATGAAGCTGTACAGCTGCGGTTTATCAGCAGCTGTACAGATTTGTCATAATGGGTAAAAAAAAACACACACACAGACATTTCAAGAGTCTGAGAGCGTTTCAGTGAACAAGGTTAACACGGAGCGATTGGTTGGCAGGGTTCATTCCTCACGATGCATCCCATAATACTCTGTGGTGACGTAAAGAGCAGCTCCCTCTGAGCCTTTTTAAAGCTTAAATGTCTGATTCCTGACAGGAAGAGAAGGAAGACATGTCAGGAAGAGCACGGACAAATTCATGTTTTTCTTCATGAGTCGATTATTAAATGTTTTTATTAGTGCAGTTTTCATCCACATGTGTTACTTTTGTGTGATTTGAGGCACTGACAGTAAAATCAGTTTAAAGAAGTTTTATGATGGAAACCTTCAGCTGTAACACAGACACACATGATCATAAAGACTGGAGGATCATCATGAATAACAAGTAATTATTTTCCCAACATTTATGTAAAAGTTCATATCGTCAGATTGGAGCGTTCACTGTGTGATGTTTGCAGATGTTTGTTGGTGGTGTTGAACAGTTCGAATCATCCATAAACTTTCCTTCCAGGTCGGAGGAAGGCTTCGTCTACAACAGCCTCACGCTGCAGCTGGAGAGTTTAAATGTCTCCGGTGGATCTAGATATGCTGCGTTTCTCTCCATTCTTCTCTCCTTTGTGTTTATCATTGTTGCAAACGTTGGGGTGGCTGTCCTGGTTTTTCTGGATAAGAGCCTTCACCAGCCCATGTATCTCCTGCTCTGTAGCTTATCGGCCAACGATGTTTTGGGGAACTCTGTCGTGTTGCCCCGCGTGCTGCTGGACGTCCTGCGGCCGCCCGCGGACCGCCTCATCGGTTACTACGAGTGCGTCCTCCAGGCCTTCATCATCCACATGTTCAACACCACCTGCCACACGGTGCTGATGGCCATGGCCTTCGACAGGTATGTGGCCATCGGCAACCCTCTGCGTTACTCTGCCATCATGACCAACAGGATGGTGATGAAGCTGACGGTTGGTGCCTGGGGAGTGGCGCTGGTTCTGGTCGGGGTCCTACTGGGTCTGACGGTCCGGCTGAGCCGCTGCAGGACTTTCATGAGAAGCCTGTACTGTAACAACGCCTCGTTGTTTCTGCTCTCGTGTGAGGATGTTTTCATCAATAACGCGTACGGCCTGAGCTTCACTGTGGTTCTGTTCACCGCCTCCATCGGCAGCATGGTGGTAACTTACACCAAGATCACCATCGTCTGTCTGACCAGCAAGAGCACAACTCTGAACAGGAGAGCTCTGAAAACCTGCAGCACACACCTGCTGGTTTATCTGATCATGTTTCTCAGTGGAATGATCATCATTATCCTGCAGCGCTTCCCTCAGTACGCAGAGGAAAAGAAAATCGCAGCTCTTTTGTTCCACATTGTTCCTGGTGCCTTAAATCCCGTCATTTATGGCATGCAGTCCAAAGAGATTCAGAAATATTTTTCTAGGACGTTTTACTCCAATAAAGTTTTGATGTCACCTTAAAGACTGTCTGAAAGCACTTTCCTTTCACAGAAATAACTAAAGATATTTTATTTTTTGGAAGCTCCAAAGTTAAACCAGAGATTAGTACAAAAAAAATATCATTCTTATAGCCACCATATATTTGTTCATTTCCTTAACTGAGTTATTGATTAGCTGATTCAGTTTGAGTTCAGAGAAGGTTTTAGTGATTTTTAACACTTTGCTTCTGATTCACAACAAGACAACCATCGTCATTGAAATAATGAAAAGAAAACCTGGACGTCTGAACTATTTTATTGTCACATTTCAACCAATGAGTAGCTCCAGACAAACAATATCAAGTTTATTCTGCACTTTGTCAGAAAACACTTTAGGTTATTTTCTAACTGCGTTTGAGTCGAACTCCATGTTATTTGATGGTTTCATCAATGAGCTGAGATCAACCGGACCTGGAGGCCAAATCGCTTCCTGATGCACCTGAAACACTTTTCTGAAGTCCAAAGACAAAGTATTGTTCCTTTGTTTTAGTCTCTCTAAGCTACTTTTGGATCATGATTGACTCGATGCCTGCAACGTTCCTGCAGCTGCAAACAAGCCCGTAGCATGAGCCCTCCACCGCCGTGCTTAGATAAGGTGATGATGCTGATCAGCTGTTTACATTCTGCTCTGCTGTGAATTATGATGAACAGATTTACAGTAATGTTGAGCTGACTCATAAGTGCAGAGTTTTGTTTTCAATGTAAGGTGAAATAGAAAATTCCAACTTTTTGAAATTAAGGCTAAGAAAAACAATATTTTAATATTTCATTAATTTTTCACAATAAAAGCATGCTTTAAAGATGGTTTTGTGTTTTCATTAAGATATGTCTGCTGCTAAACAGAATATGGGCACCATTATTCCAAACCTGCAGCACAGAAACCCATGTGACAAATATTTAGTAAGGCAGCAGAAACGAATCAGGAGAAACTTTCCCAGTGTAGCTAAATCTAACTACATAAGGTGAGATGGCTTCATAAAATCTCTGAAGAAGGTCCACTGCAGCAATCATCCAGTCCATAATCAGTCCATGCACGCCTTACATAACGGATGACATGTAGCAAAATGATCATTTTGTGAACAAATTGATGCTAATCGGTTCAGTCAGACCTTCTTCATCTTAAAGACTTGCCTTCATTCTCCAACCAAAAGAAATGTAGGTTCCTTTCCTTTTCCATGTGCAGAAAAAAACAATAAATGACATGTTCTTTACTTGTTGCTGCTTATTTTCACTCAGTCAACAAGTAAGATGTTTGATCCAACAGACATTAATGTAATTACTGTACTTACAGCAAGTCAGGAACAGCTTGCAGCTGGTGGCTGGACTGGATGATGTCCAGGGATTTTAATCTAAATGAGGTTAAATCAATTATTAAAACTCTTGGTAACAGTGTATGCTGTTCCTTCCACTCCTCGAGTTTTTTCTCTGCTTTGTGTTTGTAACATAAAATCCAGTCAGGTTGGTGGTAGAAGAAGGTAGATGGGTTTAAATACTTTTATAAGCTGTGTTTAACTAGTATGTGTCAGTCCTGCTTTCAGACTGAACATGTGCACTCTTGGATTATGGGAGTAAAATTCCCCCATATAGCATCACACACGCTCTCATCTTTCTGGCTTTCAAGAGACGTTGTGAAACAGCAAGCTAAATTAGAAAGGGACTAAGGTATTGGTCCAAGTTTCTGTGACTGGTCAGATGAGAAAGAAATACAGAAAAAGTTTAAAGTGATTAAACTAAATTTGCAGAAAAGTTGCAAGTTTGTGCAAAATTTACAAAGGCTGAGTGAATTTGCATAAATAGTTTCCATCTTAACTTCCTGGAGGGACTGATAATCATATTGACCTAATTCTGGTTGGTAGTTGGAAAAGCTATGGGGTTTGCGCTCAGTGACTAAACCAATTAGCATTAGCTTAACGAGCCAGCACCAGTGTGTTTCTATTATACATATTTAAAGTGTCAGAGTGTCCAGCACCAGGTGTGTGCTACTGCTTTAATGACGTTTTGTTTTGCACATTCCAGCTGCAAACAAATGGTTTGTTCCTGCAGTTTCTCCGACATCATGCAGCCAGCAGTCTTAGAGTTACACCGGGAAGCTGGACAGAAATATCACAATTCATGTTCAGTTTATTCAGAAAATGTTAGAATTTGAAAGGAAAAATGCAGACTCCTGATTTTTAATGGCTTCATGTTCCTTTTTTTCCTCCTTCTGCTGAGGGATGAAAAATCTGATCAGTTTTCCTCCTATATTTTTTTTACTGGAACAGAAATGATAAATATTCAGCCTTCCAGAGTCAAACGGAGACAGTGACCGGTGGCAGAGTAGTGAATAAAAACAACCACAATAATATTTATAGAAATATTATTTATTTATGAGTAATGTTTATAGATATCACAGATATTTCTATGATTTAATTGCCTTTGCAGTTTGAAGTTACTGAAAACAAAGCTGCAGTGTGCATTAGATTTTGAAGAAAAAAGATTTTTGAAGCATATAAACCCATTTTCTGGGTATTATTATTATTATTATTATTATTATTATTATTATTATTATTATTATTATTATTATTATTATTATTATTGTTGTTGTTGTTGATACCATAATCATGGTGGATAGTGATGGTGACAGTGGACTCCCCTAAATTTAACAAATGTAATGTTTTTTTTGTTTTTTTTATTCAGGCATCGACTGAGTGAAACAATATTCTGATCTATAACAGGAAATTAAACCCAAATTCATAAAGGGTAGCTTATATAATTTTCCAGCTGACCTTTTCAAACTCTTTGTGCTTCAGATAAAACAATAAAACTGTTTGCATGTTGCTATGTCTCTTAGATTAGTGAGTCTTTTTGCATTATTTGATATAATTGCGATTTTAAATAAGTTCAGTCTGGTAGGATTTATTTTTAGGGTTATTCTGCTCGATTAAATATCTTTAAGTTTCTTATGTTTAACTAAATCTGTCCCCTAATAAATTAAAATAGTGTAATTTTATCAAAAAAGTTAAACATCCAGAATTGCATAACAAAATACAAACCAGGAAATTGATCTTCACGTTCTTGATATATTTCAAATTCTAAACTTTTATGATAATTTCATTAGATAAAGTTTTTATTAATCAGGCTGATTTATAGTTTTAGTTGTTTATAATATATGTTACATAGCTGTGTATTCTCGTCATAGTTTGCCTAATAAATAACAATCATAATTTGAAAACTGTATTCTGTTTCTCTTTGCATTACCTTTGTTTCTTTTTTCACAGCCCTGAATGTGAAAACTTGTTCATAATACTTAATAAAACAGTAATGAACACTAAAGTATAAATATGTCTGAATAAACTGCAGTTCTCCTGGATGTTTCCACCTGTAGATTAAACTCAAATTCAGTTCATGAACAGGTTCTGAAAAACCTGTTAGATGAAAATTTAGGAATAAAAGTTAAATATAGTGTGAATATTAACAGATGATCATGATTCAGGATACATTTGAGTACTTTTTCATTTTATCCCTTCATATCTGCCATTGTATTCTTGGTAAACAGGATGAAAATCTTCTGGCGGACAGCTTTGATCTGCAGTCCGTAGATGACGGCGTTCATAGCCGGAGGAATAACATGGAACAAGATGGAGGCCATCTTCCTCTGGTCTGATAATTCAGGGAATCGATGAAGAACGATGATGAGGGCTCCTGACAGGAAGGTGATGATGTAGAGGACGAGGTGGGTGCCGCATGTCTGCAGCGCCCGGGTGCTGTTTGTCCTGCTGCGGTTGGTGAGGCACACCATGGCGATCCGCAGGTAGGTGAGCGTGATGCTGCCGAGCGACGAGCCCAGCAGGACCACGGTGTAGGCCAGGCCGTAGATGTTGTTGACCAGGACGCTGTCACAGGACAGCTTGAACAGCGAGGGGTTGTCGCAGAACGGGTTGAGTACAACCGCCCGGCAACGGGACAGGCGGACGCTGAGCCCCACCAGCACCAGCACCAGCAACAAGCACACCGCCCAGGCCCACACGGACAGCTTCACCACCATCCGGCTGGTCATGATGGTGGCGTAGTGCAGCGGCTTGCAGACGGCCACGTAGCGATCGAAGGCCATGATCATAAGAACGGTGTGGATGACGCTGGCGTGGAAGTGGGCAAAGAAAGCCTGCAGGACGCAGCTGCTGTAGCGGATATACCTCTGCGCGGTCGGTGTGAAGACGGTGCTCAGCACGGGGGGGATGATGGTGGAGGCACCAAGCACATCGTTGGCACCCATGCTGCAGAACAGCAGGAACATGGGCTGGTGGAGGCTCCTCTGCAGGGCGATGATGGTCACCAGGCTCACGTTGGACAGCATCACAAAGACATAGATGAGGAGCAGCAGGATGAAGGCTGGGACAGAGGAATGAGGTGTGACCTTTAACCCCTCCAGCAGCAAGAGGTCTGGATCTAAAGTTGTGTTTTCCATAAAGGGTCGGATTTAATGATGCCTAGAGAACAAAATCACCAATTAATGTCAAAAGCAGTCAGTCTCTAACCTGATACATCTCTGCCTTTGCCATCACAGTAATTTACATTAATTTAGTTCCATTCAGTGTATTTACATAACACCAATTTAACATAAATGTTGTCTGGAGGCACTTTACAAGTAAAAATGTCAGTTTGGTGAATTACTGTACCGAGTGTAAGTGTGCATGTGATAAACGAATCTAATGTGCCACACCTGCACCTCACGTATCCCAGCAGTGAGCCAATCATCGTAACACTTACTCCAAAGCGATGGCACTGCTAACAACACACTCAGCTCCGGTTGCTTGAACCTGAAGATGAAACCAACAGCTTGTCCTGATTTGAAATTACTTTGCGTGAGTCGTACCTGAAAACTTGAGGGAACTCAAAGATTTTAGATCTTATTTTCAGATCCTGAGTTAATTACAGAAAAGCAACATGAAGATGCAGAGCCCTGCTCATTTCACACACTTGATCCAAAACACAAGCTCCATTCAGAACCAGAACGCATCAAACGAGACAAACTGAAACCAGAACACCGCCTCACCTTTTCACACTCTGCATAACATGCACTGTTATCAAACTGTGTCTCTTAAAATAATTAAGTCTCAGCTTCTGCTCAAAACTCCAGATGTCAGTTTCTTTACTCTTTGTTCATCTTAAAATGTTAATGAGGATGAACATAGGTAGACAACACTACCTATTATCACTGCAGTATTATCAGTACAGAAATATATAATCTGTAAAGAGAGCGCTGCCAGCAACAGGGACAGGCTTCATGTCAAACACGGTAAAAGTCTGAATCAGCAGATATTCAGTCCGATACTCACCTGTATTGACTGAAACCTCCTCCACTGACTCCTCAGCTCAGTCTGCAGATTTATAGCAACGTTCTTATACGTGGGTGAAGTATCATCACTGAATGTAAACAACAACAAGTTGTTTCCAGATCCAGACACAGGAATGTTTCAAAATAAAAGCAGCTTCACATGCCTGTATCTGCCGCAGCAGAGACACTTCCTGTCCCATCATCAGTGACAGCTGATGATAAACTGACTTTATGAAGATGTCCGATTTCAAAATGTTTTAGGGAAATATTTGGGAATGAATATGTGTTAAATTATATAAACCAATCAGTGTCATGGGTTTCATCTGAAAGATAAATATTTTCTCTTTAGTTGCATCACAAATAAAAAAGAACTACATCTCTGTACATTCCTCAAGATTTATTATTTTTTCAACAAGGCAAAGATTATACCCTGTATTAGGCCATCACTAATACAGGGAGAATAATTATTTTACAGAGTGATGTCATTCAACATTTCAATGAGTCTAACTGCACCAGTAACTGGAAACATCAATGACTTTGGCTCTAAAGTCTCCACCAGGCTGCAGGTTGTAAAGAGATTTGTGTCACAGACAAAAAAATAAGCATTTGCTTAAGATCACCAAAGGGGGGCAGCATAGCAAAAGAACAAAAGCTTTAAAAATGGCAGTAAAAAAGCTGCAGTATTTCCTCATAGACAAACTGTGAGCGATTAAGAATGTTGAAACTATTGTCTGAACTCACGAGGAGATGTAACGTTATATGAGCCACAACAAGGGGAAGACTGAGCTGACTGAGCAGCCGAGTACCTGGACGACAGACCAATCAGCAGGTTGGCTCAGTTCAAACCTGAGACTCATTCTGGCCCTCCTGACTGGTGAAGACCAAGGTGAGACCCAAAGATCTGCCTGAGGCCTGACAGGGTCTTAGAGAGATCTCAGAGGAACTGCAGCCACTTTGGGAGCCATTCACTGTGGACACAACTGTCACCCGTTCAGTTGGACTGTCCCAGGAGGCCACAACCAGAACCAGACCCAACACCATCAGAACCAGGGCCATCGTCTTTATCTTGGTGATGATCACATATCAAACCTTTCCTCCATGAGAAAATCATGGTTGAAGTTTTGTCGTCAGAACCTGTGAATCATGTTTCACAAACGTTTTAGAAGAAGATGTTTTTGGTTAGCAGCGCCTGTGAAAAGTATTCACTCCCTTGGGTGTTTTATTATTTTATTTGTTTTGTAAGTCAGTCATGATCAACAAAATTTGTTGGTTTTATAAGAAACCTAACAACAACACTGCAGCCTTAAAGCCGCAGTATGAAACTTTTATGAAAAATAATTTCTTTACATATCTTTTTAAACGTCACACACAAGACAATCTGTGAAAACATTTAGCTCTTCCACCTCCTCCATGAGCTCCTAGTCACAAAAATACATCAATCCTGCTCAGACTAGTTTAACAAATATTTTTAAAAGAAAAAGTTACATGCAGCAGCTTTAATTGTCAAAGTAAAACCTGCTGAAATAATGATAGTGAATTGATAATATTCTACGTAAAATAAGACATTGCATAAGTGTTCCCTCCTTTCCAGTCAGTATTTTACATTGGCACCTCTGGCTGCCGCTCCAGCAGAGAATCAGTCAGGCTGCTGAGTTTTCCCCATTCTTCCTACTAAACTGGGCCACCTCTGCCAGGTTGCTGGGGATCAGATGTGAAGAGGCCTTGGTTTTGACTAGGCCACTCCAGAGTCTCCACCGTGTTTTCTTCTAACCATCTTCTAACCATACAACGAGATGTGAAAGCTTCTTAAGAAATCATTTTGTTGGAGGTAATATTATGTTTTCTTTCAAACTGTTAGCTTGAGGATTTTTCACAAATTTGACCAAAGAACTTGAAACTAACTGGGTTTTTGTAACATGCTGCTGGTAAAAAAAAAAAAAAAGCCTAAAGTGTTTCTTAACTAGGATGCGTGTTATGGGTGGACACAGAGAAGTGGTTCTGAGACGCAGAGGTCAGTTCAGAGTTCAGATTATTAACTGCAAACATTCAGACCTGACCTCTCTCATGAGAGAGCAATAAGGGAAAGTCGCTCTCTATACCTTTGCTGAGATAAATAAGGTCAGAGGATAAGATCGGCTTCTCATGTAAGTACAGGCCTATTGCCAATCTCCTAGGATTAAGGAAATCAGGGCCAATAAATCGGAACACCTCTACTGTAGAGTCATCCTGGATTAACTCCTTGAACACATATTGGTTTTTAAGACCAAGAAAAAATCTTCCTAGACTGGAAAAACCTGGACAGGAATTTCTTGATTTCTTTTGACTGAACTCCGTAAATGATGGGATTGAGGCTGCTGGGAATGATATGGATCAAGATGGCAGAAATTTTCCTCTGGTCTGAGTACTGAGGGAAACGATGCATAGCTATAATAAGAATACCACAGAAAAGCATGATAAGATACACAACCAGGTGTGTGCTGCAGGTCTTCAGGGCATTAGTGTTTATCGACTTGTTCCTGCTGGTCAGACAGACCATGGTGATCCTGGTGTAGGTGAGGACGATGCTGCCAATGGATGAGGTGAACAGAACCACGGTGAAGGTCAGGCCGTAGATGTTATTGATCACTACGCTCTCACAGGACAGCTTGAACAGTGAGACGTTGTCACAAAATGGGTTGGTGATCAGAGTCCTGCAGCGGTTCAGCCGGACCGTCAAACCCAGCAGAATCCCGACCAGAACAAAGGCCGACCCCCAGGCAGAGACGGTCAGTTTCACCACCATCCTGTTGGTCATTATCGCAGAGTAACGCAGAGGATTACAGATGGCAACATATCTGTCGAAGGCCATGATCATCAGCACGGTGTGGGACGTGGTGCCTAACATGTGGGAACAGAAAGCCTGAACAACACACTCATAGTAACTGATGAGGCGCTCAGCCGGCGGCAGCAAGATGTCCGACATCAGGCGGGGAATCATGTAGGAGACGCCTAGAATGTCGTTAAGAGGCAGGTTACAGAAGAGCAGGTACATGGGCTGATGGAGGCTTCTGTCCATGCAAATGAGGATCACAATCCCCACATTCAGCAACATTATTCCCAGGTAAGAAAAGAGGAAGAAGAAAAACACAGGGTACAGAAATGTCTCTGTGACCTCTAACCCTTCTATCTGGAGAGTAAGGCTGTTTAAGGTATAGTTTTCCATCAACCTGTAGAAAAAGTAGGAGGACATTTTTATATGCAGAGATAATTCCCAAACAAATTAAACAACTACAAGCATCCACATCATGAAGGCCAACTTATGGGGTCATAACACAACTATAATCATTTACCTGTTATTTCCCTTCATTCTGTTCAGAGACCCGACTGTCTGAAAGGAAACAGCAGCTTCAGTCTCAGTTTTATAAAGAGCTGGATCATCAGTGGGGGAAAGTCTTCAGAGTAAAACTAAACAAGTCGGGGAGGGGAAGACTGTCAACACATCATCCACCCCAAAACACCTGGCAACATACGTCACGCCACTCATGTTCTTCCATAAACTTTAACATAAACTTACTTCATAATGGAAAGACAATGCTGGAGCCATTCACACTTTTGAAATCCTGTTTCTCTTTATTCTGGCTTCTTCTGTTCAGTCTTTGATGTGGAACCTGCAGTTTTTGCGTAAATCACCCCAGAGCATTGAAGAATCACCAAACTGGGTACAGGACTTTGACATAATTTCAGTTCAGACCTTCCTCACACTCACAATTTATTCATCTCTTTATACTTAAATTTAAGTATAAATTTAGTTTGTTCCAGAGTTGCGAATCTATTTTTGCTAATATGGAAGTGTGTCATGCTTTAGTCTATTAGCTGGTCAGTGATTAACAGAGCCTGAAGGATTCAACAATCTATTCCAATCTTTATGTCCCCGTTGCAGCAGCTGGGTTTGGCCTTCTGCTCATCCCATCAGTCACTCACGTTTGCTGATCAGTTTGTTTTTACTGCAGTATTTTGGATTGGTTAGTTTTTCTGTGATATTCTTTGTGGTTTTCCTGCCCTCAGAGTTCATGACATTTGGGTTTGAACATTTTTGCTCATCTTGGGCACAGCTCACCTGTAAGTGTGCCCTGGTTTGGCCTCTCCTCTAATCTGGCCTTTGACTTGTCTAGTCAGTCATTTATTCAATCCAGTGATTGTTTGTTTGTGTTGTAAAGACCACAGTGGTGGTCTTTACATCTGGAAGCACAGGAAGATCCTGGGTTCGAATCCTGGCAGGGGGTCATTCTGCATGGGGGTCGCACATTCTCCCTGTGAAGATGTGGGTTCTCTCTAGGTACTCCAGGATTCTCCCAATCCTAAAACATGACTGTTAGGTTAACTGGATTGGTGTGAGTGTGCGCATAGTTGGCAGTCCTGTGGGGGACTGAAGATCTGTCCAGGATGTCCCCCAATGACTCTTCTGATGCTGCACTGAAGAAGTTTATGTTGGTCTATTGAAAGTAATGAGGACCTCAGAAATCTCTTGCTTTCCACTGTGACCAGTGAGATAATTGAATTAGACACCGAGGTGTTCAGGGGACGATGGACAGGGACTCTTTGTCTCATTATGGTGCTATGCGGGCTCCCTAGTGTTTGTGTGTTTTGGGTTCCCAGATGAATTGGAGATCTTTTGAGCCGGAGTCGTCTGGAGATCGTCCAGAGCTCTGGGTCCTCTTCGATGGTTTCTACTCTTAAACACAGGATGACCAAGCAGGATGTTCCTGTATTGGTTTGGTTTTATTTTGATCTTCATTCTGCTTAAAGATCCAGTGATGACCCATTTTCACTGTGTTTTCAGTCTCAACCAGACAGGTGCTTTTTGAAATAATTCTTGATTTGTCAACCCTCAGAGGCAACTGGTTGGTTACTCTTTTTCTTTCCTGAAACTGATTTATTACTGTCTTTATTTAAATTGCATTTGTTTTAAGACAGACTGAAAACTTTCTCTTTTAGCACTTTGTCTTCTTCCAAGTTTACATGACAAACTTTCTTAGATTTTGATTTATGCTTTGATTTGTTTCCCTGACTTTTAGTCATGACTCGAACTTAGTTTGAGTGTTTCATAAAAGCTGATATGTGACAACATGTGAATCCCCACAGAAACGTCTCCTGTCACGTTTCCTCCCAGAGGACTAATTATCATCAGAAACTGTTGATAGTTAGTCCTTTGGGTTTTTATGGTGTCGCTCATTAATGCTCACTGTTGTTCAGAAACATGTTTGTTTCCTGTTTGTTGTTGGAACGCAGACTAATGAAACCACCGGTGGGCCCCTGAGCCCCAAACACCTGAAACAGTTTGAGTCCCTGAACACAAACAGGTCAGGTGAAAGACCCTCAAAGTTCAACCTCTTCACAAATAACTTTTTATGCTTCACTTCCTGTTTGCTGCTTTGAGTCCAAACCCTTCCTGTTTTCTGACATCTACAGGAAAAAAATCTCTGTGTGATTCTCGAATCTTCAAGGAACCTTCCATGTTTTTCCTGCTGCTGTTTCACATCCTTCCTTGATCTCTACTTCCCCCTTTTACGTAGAGACATTTACTGACGTCTTGACATGTTTAGGTGAAGGACTGAATCCAGAAAATTAAAAAGAAATTTAAAAACAGATTTGATAAAAGGAAAATAGCATATTAGGCAACTGTTTTGCCTTCTGTTGCTTTAGATTTGTAAGTTAGAAACAGTAATCTCCCAGGTGTGTGAGTGACCAGGACACTAATGAACTCAAACAGACTGATTTGACCCGGTTCTCTGTCTCTGCGGACACTTTGGTCCGATGTTTCTCTGTGTTTTCACATGTCGACGGTCGCATGTCTTCGCCGCTGCTGCCTCTCAGGATTTAGGCCCCTGAAATTATTTGACATGTTTATTGTTTTGTTTGTTTAACTGTAATTTATTGAAGAGCTGGCAAAAGGAGAAAACCTGCAAGGTCTGTGTTTTCAGACTGAGGCTTTGGTAAATGTTCTGGTTTGTTGTATGAGATAAGTCTAACAAAATAAGTTAAAGTTTTTCACAGTTTGAAGATCCCAGAGGAGATCTTTCATCAACAGTTGTAATCAGGTAATTGTCTGAACTCTAATAAACATCTATTAGTGTTTCCTCCCTCTGGGTTAATTATCAGAAACTGTTGATAAGTGTTTTTATGGAGCAGCTCACACTGGGAGTCATTAATGATTTTCTTTGTTCTGGAAACTTCAACACTTTGTTCTGCTCAAAACACACTGATGAAACCTGTTGCTCACCAGGGGGCGCTGTGTCCCCTGAATCCCTGAAACAAAGTTCGACTCTCTGGACACAAACTGTCCAACTGAATGTGTTTTAGCTTCAACAGGAAGAAGTTGTCAGAGACACTTTATGTTTAGAATGAAACTTTTGAATGAAACCAAAGGCCAAAGATATGAACAATTGTTGGTATTTAATTGGGAAAAATACATGAAATTACTTCAAATTGGTTTTAAACTGTGATTTTAGGCTACAGAAAGACAAATGCAAGCCTCTAAAATCTTTATTCTTTAATCGTAGATATTGAAATATGACAGAAAATTGTCCCGAGATAAAAAGGCAACTTTACATCATGTAAACATAAAAATTACCAATTAAAGTTCTGTATGATATAAGAAACACACAAACAAACAAACACACACAAACACACACACAAACACACACACTCATGCAAACACACACACACACACACATGCACACGCGCACACACACACAAAAAACAATTCAGGTATTTAAATTCAGTCTGTCTTTTAGATTATTAAATGTTGGGTCATAAGAATAAAACAAACAGCTGTTTGCATTAAAAGAAAAATATTTAATTTCTCAAATCTATTAGATAACTTTTGTCAACCATAAAATATTATTTTTTCAAGATGAAGATAAAACTTTTCTAGATCTGAAAGCATGAGAGAGGAATCTTTTTATTTCTTTGGACTGAACTCCATAAATGATGGGATTCAGGCTGCAGGGGATGATGTGAAACAAGATGGCGGACATTTTCCTCTGGTCCGAGTACTGAGGGAAACGATGCAACACGATGATCAGTATGCCACAGAAAAGCATGATGAGATACACAACCAGGTGTGTGCTGCAGGTCTTCAGGGCTTTACTGTTCAGAGACTTGTTCCTGCTGGTCAGACAGACCATGGTGATCCGGGCATAGGTGAGGACGATGCTGCCAATGGAGGCTGTCAGCAGAACCACGGTGAAGGTCAGGCCGTAGATGTTATTGACCACCACGTTCTCACATGACAGCTTGAACAGTGAGGCGTTGTCACAGTACGGGTTGGTGATCAGAGTTCTGCAGCGGCTCAAACGGACAGTCAAACCCAGCAGAATCCCGACCAGAACCAAGGCCGACCCCCAGGCAGAGACGGTCAGTTTCACCACCATCCTGTTGGTCATTATCACAGAGTAACGCAGTGGATTACAGATGGCAACATATCTGTCGAAGGCCATGATCATCAGCACGGTGTGGGACGTGGTGCCGAACATGTGGGTGCAGAACGCCTGAACGACACACTCATAGTACCCAATTATCAACTCTGACTGAGGCTTCAGGAGGTCCGACAGCAAACGGGGCAAAACAGTTGAATTCCCAAAGATGTCATTAACTGGAAGGTTACAGAACAACAAATACATGGGCTGATGGAGGCTTTTATCAATCCAAACCAGGACTATAATCGCAATGTTCAGTATCATTATGAATAGATAGGAGAAGAGGAAAAACAAAAAGACAGGGTACACTGATGTCTCTATGACCTTTAACCCCTCCAGCTGGAGGGTCACACTATTAAAGGTTTCATTTTCCATCATCCTGAAAGAAAGATCAAATGAGAACGTCAAGATTTCTTCTTGTACCACGTAAAGTAATTATAAAAAAATAAATAAAGACATCTTTCAGAAAGAACAAACTTATTTGTTGGTTTAGAAACAACAAATGTAGATTGATGTAGGAAATACATTCCAAATGTTTGAGTATAACCCCAACATTTACCTGGGATTTCTAACCTTCTTAGGCTTGCAAAGTTGAACCACCTTGATTGTCTGGTAGGAGAGGTCTGTCTTGGCTGATTTTTATATACATTTGTCTATTCATCTGAGAGTAGAGCTGTAACAACATGCTAGTAGTCATGGAAACTAAAACCCGCAGGCCACGCCAATAATCTCGCGTTGAGTCAACGGTGGCGCTCCATTTAACCTAGCAATG